AGAGCGAGAGAGAAGCTGGAAAAGGAGCAGAGAGAGCGGAAGGAGAAGGCGAGGCTGAAAGTCGAGAGGGAGAGGAAGGCCAAAGAGGAGGCCAAGAAGCAAAGGGACGCCATTGAAGCCGCTCAGAGATCCAGACGCCTTGATGCCATTGAAGCCCAGCTCAAGGTTTTTATTTTTATTTTTTTGTTTATTTTCAACTTCCGTGATTTCAATTTCTCGGTTCTTTCTAGGATTAGTTCTGCTTTGATTTACATGTGAACAATCTGTTGTTTTAGAGATTTCAAAAACAATTCTAGACAAGAACGATTGAGCTATTTTCATGGAGCTTTCAAGCGTGAAATCACAATTATGATCATTAAAAAATTTGATTTTTTTTCCCGGTTTTTGCTTGTGTGTGCCTATCTGGAAAAATCACGATATCCATAATGATATGTTCAAATGAATCTGGAAAAGAAGTTATTTTAAGCTTTTTAATTGAAGGTGAAAGCACATGAATTTAACAGGAGATGAATGCTTCTTTCAACTGATTGCTCTTCAAACTGTGGTTCCAACACGAAGAGGTTGAGACGCCATTAGGAAGTATTTTCTTATTTAGAGTACTAGTCCCCTTTTAAGTTATTTTGAGTTATAGTTTCAGGCCAAAAGGGGAAAAAGTAGAGAGAGAGAGAGAGGAAAAAAAAATAAAAAGATACTTTAGTATTCATTTTGGTCACAGTTCGAATTGCAATTCAACTTTTTTGCTACTCACAAAAAATTAAATTTTAGTGCAAGTTTTCCACTCAAAGCCATAACGTTTAATACAATATACTCGTCGTTTTTTGATATTTTTTTTTCCGTGAAGATTAAATCTGTCGTGCACAATGTTTGAGCATTGCATATGTGTAAATAATGCATGTCTATCTTTTTGTACAAGTTGGATGGTTGGTTTTGATAATTTTGTCTCGTCTTTAACGTATCTTCAGGCTGATCAACAAACACAAGAAAGCTTACTTTCTGGGAGGGGAATTGTTTTTTATCGTCTTCTGGAAGCTGCACCATATCAGGGTAATGGAGATAAGATCAAATTGCCACCGTCTTGCTTCCAGGAATTGTCTGATCAAGGGGCTTTTGATAAGGGACCTCTGTACTTCCATCTGTCTTCACTTAATAAAGAGGGTTCTTCAAATGTCAGTGCTGGTGAAAATTGCCGGACCACTCATTCAGGTGTTTTGGAGTTCACAGCAGAAGAAGGTTCTGTTGGGCTTCCTCCTCACGTGTGGCAGAATTTATTTGCAACAGATACAACAAAGACTCATCTGATTGAAGTTCGTTATGCTTGGCTGCCAAAAGGAACTTATGCCAAACTTCAACCTGATAGAATTGGCTTTTCAGACTTGCCCAATCACAAGGCTATCCTTGAGACCAGCCTTCGGCAGCATGCAACCCTTTCTCAAGATGACATATTCACAGTCAATTATGGGGAGCTCACTTACAAGCTACGCGTACTTGAGTTAAAACCTTCTTCAAGTGTATCTGTCCTAGAGACTGATGTTGAAGTTGACATAGTTGGTCCTGACTCAGCTGCAGAGAAAACAGAGCAGCATGTCTTAAAACCACTCACATTTGGAAAACCAGAATCTGGCATAGTTGATGAAGGAAATTATGTGTATTACAAATTTTCAGTGGACAATGATACTTGGGAGAAAGTCTCTTCGGGGGCTGCCCGACTTGAGGTAAGGATAGAAGCAGAGACTGATGGTGGAGACACTGATCTCTACGTATCCAGGCATCCTCTCATATTCCCAACTCAACACCAACATGAATGGTCTTCCTATGACATTGGTTCAAAGGCCCTGATCCTTGGTTCTACAGATAAGAACTTTACAGTGGGTAATTATAGTATTGGCATTTATGGCTTTAAGGGTAAAAGTAAGTACCATGTATCAGTGAGCATTCAGGATGACTGTAACCGTACGGTTGGTCAACAAACTGTGTCGTCCTCTTCATCTATGGAGGTGGATACTGCAGAGTGTAAGAATTGCAAGCGTCATATACCGATACGGACTATAGCATTGCACGAAGCCTATTGTAGCAGACACAATGTTGTTTGTAAGCATGCAGGATGTGGAGTTGTTCTTAGGGTTGAAGAGGCCAAGAATCACGTGCATTGTGATAAATGTGGGCAAGCTTTTCAGCGGGGAGAAATGGAAAAGCACATGAAAGTTTTCCACGAGCCACTTCGCTGCCCCTGTGGTGTAGTCCTCGAGAAGGAATATATGGTGAGCAATATATTCCCTACCTCCTTTCCTTTTCCTTCTCTATAATTTTTTTTCCCATGTCTTTGTTTTGTTGTGTTTCGTTTCTCACATGCCTTTTTCTTTTTTGGGCATTTGAGCTATTACATGCATTGGTTTAATATCAAAATTTTCCTTTATCATGTCACTGTAAAAGAGTGAATTTTCCGAGTTCCATTTTGGGTCCTGTAAAAGCAGCTTAACTAACAGTTATTGCCCTGGTTCCAAGCTTAATTCCATTCGTCTAAACAGAGTAGTTGATTGTTGACCCTCAAAAACCTCGGAGGCATTAACAGTTAGAAGAAGAAATAAGTTTCATCTCATGCTTTGAGAAGTGGAATCTTTTTCAATCTTTGATATGACATCTTTAATTGGTTGTTGTAAAGTTCCTAAAACGACCTTCCCTGCGGGACGTGAAAAGCAGAAAACTGTGACTTGATTTTCGAAAGCTGCTAGTACAGGAAAAATAATGTCTGAAACTTCCAAGAAGTTTCCATTTAATATTAGAATAGGCATCATGCAGATAAAATAATTGCAATTTCTTTTTGACGGAAGCTCCCTTTTTCTTTAACTTCCAATAACACTTCCTTTTTGTTGTTTTTCTCAGGTGCAACACCAAGCCTCAGCTTGTCCCTTGCGTCTGATTGTGTGTAGATTTTGTGGGGACATGGTTCAAGCAGGAAGTTCTGCTCCAGATGCTCGGGACAGATTGAGAGGATTGACCGAGCATGAAAGCATTTGCGGATCAAGAACCGTTCCATGTGATTCATGTGGTCGCTCCGTCATGTTGAAGGATATGGACATCCACCAGATCGCCGTCCATCAAAGGAACTAATGCAACGTGGATGCCAAAGAACGCCTTTTCTTTTGTGGTACTTGCTGGTAGGAGCAATGCAGAGCAGTCATCAGATATATCTGGCCGAAGAAGGGTATGGGAGCAGTATGGGAGGAGTTGCTGTTGTGATTTGAGTGTGGTACTGTCAAAAAAAAAAAAAAAGAGTTGTGTAATTAATTGTTTGTGCATCTGAAAGAGGCAATCCTATGCCTCTCCGTGCACCGTTTATTTAATTTGATATATAATACAATATTTGCCAGGTTGGTTCGATGGATGGCTCGGATATCATCTTTTGGTGATTGTTACCCTCATTGTTTTCCCTGATGGTGTTTCTATATGCAAGTATTTTACATGCATCCAAGACCATTATAGGACAAGATTGGGTAATCTTAGTAAATACTCTTTAAAAGTGTATGAGTCAAAAATTTCTCTTTTCTCTTGATTCATAACATTTTTAGTTAAATAATTACACTAATAAAAGAGTATTTATCAAGAGTAAGAAGGTATAGACTCATACACTCACACCATAAGTGATCTTTGTTTATGCAAAGTAGTCGTAGTCCATGTAATCAGATATTATATATTTTTTGGGTGAGTAATAAACATACAAAAGATAAAGAAACATATAAATATTTTTCCATTTTTATGATCTAATAAAATATTTATTGGCCTTTTTGGCTCCATTAGATGAGGAAATTGGGTCCATAATCTTATCGTGCCTCGTATCTTATAATTTCTCATGGAACCATATGGTGGAATGAGGAAGGTGGTGTGGGTCCAGAATCTTGTCCTGCCGCTTGTTATGGCTTAGTTTAGTAATACTATAAATTTTGAAAAAATTACTTTTAATTATGCTGAAAGAAAGTGTTTAGTAAACTATAATTATAATAGCTGTGCTGGTTCTAAAATTAGTATAAAAGCATTTGGTAAATTATGAGGTTGAATTACTATGAATGGTTAAAAATTACAACTATATTATATTAAACTATAATATAATATATATAATTATAATATAATA